ATGAGCTCTGACCTGACTGACGTTGCCCGCGAAGTCCGGGAGGGCCAGGATCTTATGGCTGCCGCTGAGAAACGCGGCGCGGAAATTGTCGAGGTCGTCAAGATGGCCTGTCACGCTGCGAAATTGGCGGATGCGGATACCTTCATTTCAGCACTGCAGCATGGATACGGCACCATGGTTGGATCTAGCGGACGCCTCATCAGTGGTGGACAGAAGCAACGTGTCTCTCTAGCTCGAGCCCTGATTAAAGACCCTGCTGTCCTCATTCTGGACGAAGCCACAGCGTCGTTGGACTCTCGCAGTGAACAGCGCATTCAGCGGGCCATCGCCGGCATTGCCAGTGGCAGAACCATGATCACGATTGCTCACCGTCTGTCAACAATTACCAGCGCGGACAACATCATTGTCATGTCCAAGGGCAGAATCCTGGAGCAAGGGACTCACGCTGAGCTAATGGCCAAGGAGGGCGCGTATTTCGACCTAGTCAAATTGCAGACGCTTGGAACCTCGTCCACCAAGACTGTAACCTCCGGAAGCGTGGACAGTATTAGCAAGTCTGACGACACCTCGCTGACGGAAGCTGAGAATGAAAAGGCCAGTCTCACCCCGGAAACCCTCGAGAAGACGGAGGAGACCAAGGTCTCAGAAACCGAAACACCAGCCGGCGACGAGGCTGCTAAGGAGGAAGAGCTGGAGACTCCTAAAAAGTCACTGTGGGCACTGGCTAAGGGATATGCCCCTTCACTGCGGCCACACCTCCTGTATATATTCCTCGCCTTGATTGGTTCCAGTATCGTCGGTGGAGCCTTTTCTGGTGAGGCTGTTATTTTCGGTAACACCGTCGGCAGCTTGAGCATCTGCCACAGCGCCTCCAGTATCAGCAACCGCGGTGACTTCTACGGACTGATGTTTTTCATCCTCGCTATAATTGAGTTCTTCGCCAACGTGGTCAGCTGGTCCGGCTTCGGTTGGGTGTCCGAGAAGATCGTTTACACTGTTCGTGTTCTCTCATTCCGCTCTCTGTTCGAGCAAGACCTGCATTGGCACCAGTCCAATGGACGCAGCCCTGCCCTACTGCTGTCGTACATTACACGTGATGGAAACGCCCTGGCTGGACTGAGCGGTTCGGTCATCGGAACGCTCTTCTCCATTACAGTCAACCTCATCGCTGCAATCATTCTCACGCACATCATTGCCTGGAAGATTGCTCTTGTTTGTCTGGCCCTGGTGCCGCTGCTCCTTGGTGCTGGTATCATGGAGCTGCTTGTGCTCGGCAAATTTGAAGAAAAGCACGAAACTGCATACACCAAGTCGGTGGACATTGGAGTGGAAGCAATCACCTCCATCAAGACCGTCTCCTCTCTATCTATCCAGCAGGATATACTGCAAACCTATCGCGCCTCTCTCAAGGGACCGCGCAGGGAGACCCTCGTTGTTACTCTCCAAGCCAGTCTCTGGCAGGCCATGACCTACTTCCTGGGCAACCTCGTCAACGCGCTCGCCTACTGGTGGGGTGCGAAGCAGATCATCAATGGCACCTACACGCAGACACAGTTCCTGATTGTGGTGTTTTCCCTGCTAGTCAGCGCCCTACTCTGGAGTCAGATGTTTGCACTGGCTCCAGAACTGTCCAGCGCACGTGCTGCTATGGCCCGCATCCTTAGTCTGATTGAGATCGGTTCCGACAAGATGCAAGGCCGGGTGCCAGACCATAGCAATTCTTCCCATGATCCTGAAGCTTCCACCACTATTGAACCCAAACTTACCACCCCCGCCAGCATCCAACTCCGTGACGTGCACTTCGCCTACCCTGCCCGCCCAGACATCCAAGTCCTCAAGGGCCTCACCCTCGACATTCAGCCTGGTAAATTCTTCGCCCTTGTTGGCCCCTCCGGAGCCGGAAAGTCGACCATCATCTCCCTTATCGAACGCCTCTACACCCCGCAATCTGGCAGCATCGCCATCGATCACACAGACCTGAAGAACCGACCCCCCAGTTTCCGCGACAGCATCTCTCTCGTACCTCAAGAAAGTGTTCTCTTCGAAGGCACTATCGCCTTCAACATCGGGCTCGGTGCACCTCCGAATCACACCGCTACGCAGGAGGAAATCGAGGCTGCCTGCAAGCTGGCTAACATCCACGATACCATCATGGCTCTGCCAGATGGATATGAAACAATGTGTGGACCGAATGGCAACCAATTCTCTGGTGGACAGAAGCAGCGGTTGTCGATTGCGCGGGCCTTAGTACGCAAGCCTCGCTTGTTGATTCTGGATGAGTCTACGAGTGCGTTGGATGCAGAGAGTGAGCGGTTGCTGGAGGAGGGCCTAGAGAGGGCAGCGCAGGGTATCACAGTCGTGGCAATTGCGCATCGACTGAGGACAATCCGCAAGGCGGATGTTATCTGTTTGATTGAAGCAGGTGTCTGTGTCGATCGTGGAACACACGAGGAGCTTATGGAGCGATCGGCGAGCTATAGGGAGAATGTGTTGCATCAAACCGTGGAGTAAACCTACGGTCATCCTTTTCAATTATTTAATAGACTTTAATATAGAATCGCTTGCATGCTTGTATATACCATTCAGTTATAATCCGTTTGCAAAAGCATTTCATTGACATTTACAAGACTTCTGACCGTGTTGTAGCCTTTGTCGTAGTAGGAATCATCGAGCACGTAGTCTCTAGATGAATAGCATGCTTGCAGTAAGCTCCTCTAACCATGGTCTACTCAACAAATTCCTCGAAAACATGCCAATAAATGGAATCATATCAACCTCCCCTCTACCTTTACTATCTCGTTTTTGGTCCTTATGACTATACCCATCAAATAATCATAAACAGCCTTAATATTCCCATACTCAGAATCGTGTTCACCACCGGAACCAAGTATTTCCGAAACCAGCGTCTTGGGCTGTTTCAGTGCCTTGCCATAGCTACTCAGGCAGCTAGCTAGCTTAGTAGCCTAAAGATTTGCAGGTGTGTCGGAAAAGAGCGACCCGAGAGACTATCAATCAGCTGAATGTGGGCGAAGTCGTTTACTGTGTGCGTGTAAAGGCTTTGTTCGCACTAGTAAGACACCTAGTATGCGGCTAGTAACAATACTAGTAGATAACAAGTGGGGACATTGATTGATAAGACTAATCAGATCTGATAGCTCGAAAGTCCACGGACTACCAAGAAATTGTCCGACCAAGGTATCCGGAAGAGTTTAGTCTCTTCTAAACCATAAGAAGCTATGGATAGGATACGTAGGCGTAATTAATCCCTTGGAATTAATTGTTTCTCTGAGCCATGGGGGATGCATATCCCCGACCAATAGGAATTTCTGGCGAGGGTACAACTAGGTTGCTGGTGCAAGTAGCTACAAGCGAGTTCTGCAAGACTTTTTTTCATTTCTCCTGCCAATATATTGTGTTGTTGGGAACGGGGCTGGGCTGTTTTGGGGGTTCCTCGCCACCATACAGTAGTCTAGTCCATAGTCCGAGTCGTATGATAATCGCGCAGTCTAGCCCGAACCAGAGTTACCACCGACGAGTATCTAATCTAATCTGATTGCTTCTGTTCATGGAGGAAATTTTGCTGGAACCTGAAACTTGAGCTGAGTTTTGGGCTCTGAAACGAATCGAAGCTAAACCGTATCCATTCGACTTGCACGTGGCTTTCGTGGGAATACTCGGAGTGGTCTTGCATGCAACAAGGTTCGAGCTTAGTATGCAGGGTAGCTGGAGTGTAGCTGTACCTGTAGCTGGTGGATGGTATACTGTAACGCAGCAGCAGCACTGGCTGTAATGATTAACATTCTACATTCCTCATTGAACCCATATATTAGTATCATTCCAACCTATTTATGGATCATTCGGCGCGCACTTAAGGATAGCCACCGTGTTGGTGACAGCCTCCTTCCTGCCTAGTAATCCTGCAAAATCAGGCCGTCATTCCTCCGTACATCTAGTCCCCCTCTCTTGCCTCTGCCTTTCCTCTCGCTAAATTCTCCTACTATCCGGCGGCAGCTGGGCCAAGAATACGGCCAAGTGCATCAGGGTTACATCGTGTACCATGTGATATCCGTATTGAAATGAGTTGTAATCCACAATGTCAATTCAATACCCAACTGTCACCCCTTTACCGTATACACTCACCCACACCAAAACAACCGTGTCTCACTCCAAGTTATCTGATTGACTCCACCAGCATCCGCACCATCCCAAAACCCCCCTGCCTACAAAAGCAATAATAAAAAGAATAAAGAAATTGAAGTCAAGCTAGGGGATTCCATGACTCATTTTTATTCCATCCGAGCAAATTCTTACCTCTTACCCAAGGACAGCAGCTGGTCCTCGCTAAGAAACCTGATCCTGCCAAGCAACTTATCTCGGATCAGATAACTTTTGTGCCCAGTCACATGGTACCCGGCCTCGGACCAGTGGATTTTACATCGCGCTTATGGTGGGCATTTCGGAAGCGGCCATCGGGCATACGTGTATTGTGTCATTTCACTGGTCCGAAGATCGCATCCTGAGGAGAACCGAAGTGGGCCTGTAATTGGAGGCTTATATCTTTTTACTGGTCATGTGCCTCCTTTCCAGGCTGGACACATTATAGTGATGGGTTCGACAACCCCAAGGGGTGATACCAAAAAGCAAAGGATTATGTATACAAAAAGGCCACTTGTTGATGATTTACAATGTGAAACAGGCCTAGGAGTAATATGTTTGCAAGAGGTTTTGTATAGGTATTTTCGTGGAATGAAGTCCGCGACTGGTCTTGTGCAGGTGCTCTATCCCAGATCACCCTTGCGGATGGAAGATGCTGCTGCTATGCCAGCCAGGCGTTCTCCACACTAGTAGTGTTGCAACTGACTTATCCTGTATTAGAAAGGGTCTTTGATGTTTCACGCCAAACGCAGTCTCCAGTGTTGTCGAAATGGTTGATCGGATGGTGCAAAAGTCCTGACTGACGGTAGCTGTCGGGGCCAATTCAGTGTTTTGCTTATAGCCGTGCTTGTTTGCTACCATGTACTTAGGCTTCAAAGCCCGGAAGTACCCACAATTCGCCTAGTGAGAAGAGGCGTGCCGTATGAACCCTTCGGAGGTTGAAGAGGCAGATGTCGGGTTTCCTTGTACTCTGTATTTCACTGATACTGTGGCTGTAGCACTCATCCCTCCACAGGTCCTACCCTCACCTGTTCGCGTCTCCGGAGTTCGGCCAACTCCTGTGCTTTCTCATCGGCAGCCCGTCGCTTTTTCTGCCTGCTCGCGAACCGCTTCTTTCCACCAAACTTGAGCTTCGTAATCAGGTCTGCGGCCTGGCCCCGGGTCAAATCTCCAGGCGCAATCCGTCCATTCCGAATCTTGGCTTTATTTAACATCGTTACCTGTGCTGAAGTGGCCGGATGCTGACGCCAGGGCTGCCGGGTGGAGATATACCTTTCATCAAACTCAGAGGCTGCGAAGGTATCAGCGGCACGAACTGTGGATTCAAAGTCCATGCCAGTAGCGATCAGACGTGGTCGAGTGTATTGGGTCGATTCGGTAGCAGACTTGAACTTCATCACATGGTGAACTGTGTATGTAGCTGACGGATCAGCTTTTTGTCCCTTGTTAGATGTGTTCTTAGTCTTCTCGAGGGTTATCCATCCTGTTGAGTCAGACAGTGTGTATTTATCCTCATCTACGCGGACCCAGGCGTAGCGGCTGAGGGACCGGATATGTTTCTCAGACTTCATATCATGAATGAGGTCGTAGATGGTATCGTACTTGGTGAAGGTGAGTTTGACGTCGTCGGTTGTGTCGGGTTCCTCAGTGGGTGTGTTTGTCTCTGGCGGATAATCGGTGCGATCTTCGGCACCCGTTGAGGCATCCTTCTTCTCTCTCAGGTCCTTTGCTCTCGCGCTTTCTAGAAGTTCGTCTGGGTGTAGTCCAAAGAGTGTAGGGGTAGAAAGGACACCAGTGTCCAGGGTAGCCACCATGTCAATTATATGGCAGTCCTTCTTCCCAGGGTGCAGTCGTAAGCCTCGTCCGATCATCTGTATGAGAAGATTCCGAGACCGTGTCGGACGCGCCAGCAGGACGCAGTCAATATTGGGAATATCTGTACCTTCTGTGAATAAGCCACAGTTGAGAAGCACGGGATACTCCTGATTCCTGAAAGCACGCAGCTGTTCATCGCGCACATCCCTTGGAGTTCCCGCCGTGATATACCGAGCGTCAAAGCCCAATGCGCGGAACGCCTCAGTAAGCTGTCTGGTGTGTTCAACGTCGACACAAAATACCAGTGTAGACTTTCGATCATGTGCGTTAGCCAGCCATGCGCGTACAGTGATATCATTGGTTCTCGTGGTATTGACGGCTTCAGAGAGCGAGCTGATAGCGAAGTCACCGAATTTGTCCTTCCTAACGCGTGAGAGATTGGCTTCTGACCGAACAGTGGTAAAGATGGCATTGGAGAGCCACTTTTCGTCAATCATATCCATGTAATCCTTGTGATATACTATATGGTCGATTGCGGCACCTAGTTTGAGTCCATCGAAGCGTGAGAACGTGGCAGAGACTCCGACAAGAGCCGGCGAGTCTGGCGAAGGGTTATTGAGGCCGAAATGTTCTAGTGCAACCCGGTACGTCGGTGCAACGATATGATGTGCCTCATCTACCAAGACAAGTTTAAAACGTCTAGGATCAAATTTGGAGATCCTATCCTTGGAGGTGAGACTCCGTATGGAAGCAATGATGATATCCCCAGAACCGGAGGCGACACTATTACCCATCTCAATCTCTACAACTCGATTGGGGTAGGCAAGACGGCAGTGTCGGGCAGCTTGCTCGACTAGCTCTCTTCGGTGAACCAGGATAAGGGTCTTGTCATGGACGCCATTACGCGGCGGTATTCGTCCGATTAATTGGGTGAAGATGACCGTCTTCCCCGCGCCTGTGGCAAGCGAGACACCTAGACGTTTGTGACCCTGGGCCAGATGATCCAACACCGACTGGATACATTCTTCTTGGTAGTCGCGGAGAACAATCAGCGGGGGTTCTGCTGGGGCTGTAATTGCTGAGGGAAGGGCGTCGGATGTTACTGTAGAGCGGAAGCGCAGGTGCGGATAATGGATCGACGTAAGGGACCCCCGCGGACCTCTAAAAGCCCTCAGGACGCTGGAAACGGGATATCTCCCCAGTTTCTGGCGAAGGCGATCCATTCAGATGCCATGAAGCAGAATCAATTCGTGAGAGCCGTGCGAGTGACTTCAGGCTGGATGCAAGTATCGTGATGGGAAGCTGTTCGGCATCGGAAAGCCATTGTTCCGAAGAAGCTTGAGATGAGGCTCTCTCTCGCACGCGATCATGTGACTCTTGCTTTTACGTTATTTCCCCGAACAAGAAGACCCACAGGCCACCCAGTAATACTAAAGTAATTCTTTGAAAGGTCCACCGTATTGTATACGGGGTATATAAAGTGCCCATTTATGTATGGCTGATAAACGAAAGCGCTCATTAATTCCCTACTTCTTAACTCCGTAGGTTTAACTATTTTCTTTTTTTCTTTTCCTCTGATTGCTTCGCCGCCCTCATTTCCTACGGCAGAATTCGAGACTGGAACCTCTAGGCGGTGAGCATTACTTCGATGAGTCAGCAGGGAGCAAGCGGGACGACAATTTCTCATCTGCGTTCAACCCATTCCGGACTCGAGAATACTCAGCGGTCCTTGAAGTGCTCTCACCCAGCACTTGCTTGCACGCCAGCCCAAGTGCCTTATCGAACTAATTATATTCCCACCCCCTCTTAGAATACCCTAAATTCGGTCAGTGCTTCTACTCCTGCCCTGTTTTGCCCCCCGATTCCCTTTTCGGTAATTCTCCTGCTTTTCCACCAATCCTCCTCTATTCAACTGTCGCCTCAGGCGAGATCGACACCTCGCACTTCATACCTCATACTCCCCCATATACGGCTATCCGGGGTGAAGCTATCCTGTCTTTTCACTTTACTGTCTATACTATCCACCAACCCTCACGATCATTGTCGCCTTGATGGACTATGCTAGTAACCCAACTAACACTAACATGCAGTCTCGTGACTGGCGCATCCGGCTCACGGTATCATCATGCCTGCCGTACACGGGGACTTGATGACCACGGTTGTCCCTACGGAGAAGGAGTTGCCCCTTGACATCGTGCCGCGGCAGGTCATACTCAGGGACCGAGTCACGGTCGCCACCTTGGTCCCCTTCACTTCGGCGGATGCGATCCCCCGATCTCTATTAGCTTACCTATCCGATCAGTTGAACAAGGAGATTGAAGGTGGTGATACCTATGCCATGATTGATCCCATCCCCTTGGAGCAGTTTGGGCCGTATTGGTTCTCCAATTTTGGCGCGATCATGCTCATGGGGGACATCAAGAGTGTGCAAGAGGTTCAAGCACTAGGTCGGAACCGCGCCAATTGGTCCAAGATCTGCTTGGGCAGCTTCAATATCCGTCCCAATTATCCCGGTCGTAGTAGTCACGTCTGCAATGGCATGTTTCTGGTCACCGACGCCGCCCGTAACAAAGGTGTAGGTCGACTGATGGGGGAAGGGTATCTCGAATGGGCTCCTAAGATGGTTAGTATACCAAATACCAGTAATCTTGACTCAAATCACTATTCCTGTTGCCTATCATAACTACTTAGTACTCCCCTCAGCCACTTGTTACCCTACCTCAACGTTGCGGTCTTTGACCTAGTAGACATCTGGCTAACATTCAACAGGGGTACACATATGCGGTCTTTAACCTGGTCTATGAGAGTAACGTGGCATCTTGCCGCCTGTGGGATGCTCTGGGGTTTAAGCGGATTGGCAGGGTCCCCGGGGGTGGTCGGCTCATTTCCAATCCCGGGCAGTACGTAGATGCTATCATCTATGGCCGGGATCTAGGCCCGGAAGGGGAAGATTCTGTCACACAAGATCGGTTTGACAAGATCCGCTACTATCTCAAGCATTCCAAATATCCTAGGGGGGCTGACCGGGCCGAGAAAAGTCGGCTTCGGAGTGCAGCTACCCACTACAAGTTGATCGGAGGCAAAGATGGGGACGGTGAGAAATTGATGCTGAAAGACAAGGAGGTTGTGTCCGACCCGCAGCAGCAGTACGATATTGCCCGGGAGATGCATATGCAGCAGCATGCAGGTATCAACAAGACCACAGCTGCCATTGCGGTCAAATACCATTGGGTGCGGATCAAAGAAACGGTCAGTCGGGTGATCCGGGACTGTCCACAGTGTAAAGAGATCCTCAAGCCGCCTTTAATTAATGGGATTATGCACGAGGGTACCCCCGAAGATGATGAGGACGATCTGGGAATTGATGAGGCTGACTTGGCGGAGAATGATGTTGACATGGCATCCAGCGATCCTATGGGTACGCATGCGCTGATGGACCACGCCGCCATGGATGCTCACAATACGAACCCATTCGTGACCGCCCATTCGGTAGTGCAAGGATCAGTGGATTCCATCACCGATTACACGGGCTTGCCGCTCGACCCACAAATCATCGACATACATCAGCAGCTCCCTCGATTTCATCCTCATGATACTATGACCGATCCATATACCCACGCTGCACATAGTTTGCATGCATCAAGTTTCGACAATGATGTCCGTCATCATGCAGCCCATGACTATCATATGATGGTTGACCATCCCACCGACCCTGATCCGTCCGCGGCGCTTCATCAAGAAGTATTAGGACTGGTACATTCTCAGGCACACGACGTCCATCACGAGCAGATTCTGGCAAAGTACCAGTACGTGGATCAGCCAGATGATGGCCTGGATTTCACATGACATACATCCATGTCTCTTTGCTAATACCTTTTACTTCGTCACCATCTCTCTTTCACATCTTTCCTCGGGTCCTTTCCTTGCTGGACCTACTCTCGGCAGTACTAAGTTAGGGTTTTATGCATATTTCTCGGCGTTGGTTAAGGTTGAAAGGAGTTGGTCTGTTATGGAATGCTGAGCCATTATATTAGACATGAACTGAATGTCAGGGTTTACGGAGCGCGATATAACTAAGGATGAATGTATCATATATTAATCAATTACAATGATGACGCCGTGCCATGAACACGCTTCCCTGGTTTTTATTATGAAGATTACTACACATTATTTCATATTTTGCACTAACTGAGCCCGCTATGCAAGTCTTGGTGGTCTACCAGATATCATTTCAAGCTGGTGATCGCTTGCATGACCAAGGATCCTTCCTATTTCACTCCGAATTGGGCTTCATGACATTTCAGGCAGCAAAGGCTTATGAGCAGAAGCTGTCGCGCTGAATAATCATACAATGAAGTGTCCAGTATCGATTTATGAAATACTATTGACGGAGTCGGAACTACGACTTACGCTACAGAGAATGTTTGTTCCAACTCAAGTTGTTCTTGGTGATTTCATGCACTTCCTTGACGACTGGTACGCTAAAACAACGAGTTGTTTTACAGACAGCAAATCCATCATGAACTACCACCTGAATTCGCAGCTTTTCCACTAGTCTCTGAACCAGGTGGACAGCATCATATAACACAACCTTTCACCAGATAGAAATGATAAGAGATAGTCAGATCAATGATACACTAATATACAATGCCTTTATACATATGGTAGGACAGGCAACTATAACTACACAGAACGAGAAACCACGTAAACCCAGCCCATATCATCAACGCCGCCTATATCATGCAAGCCCGCTAAAGAAAAAGGCCGTCGACAGGCCCTGCGAAATGGTTTCACTTGCCAAAAACCCCGATTATTTCCCCTCCTTTGTTTCCTTTTCATCTCCTTTTTGGCCCCAATTCCATACATCCCAGATATGCTCCTTGATCAGGTCACCATATCCCTTGCCCTCCTCCAAAGCCTTCTGTTCCTCCCTTATTCTTCTCTCCTTCCACCCCTCCGTCTCACCGCCCATCCAGATTTTCTCCAAGGCCGGCTTCTCCTGTGCTTGCCTAGCCTTCAGCCTTTCCAATTCCTCACCGACTGCTGACCCCTCTCGGATCTGTGCATCCCTCGCTGCCTTCAACTTGGCCTGTATCTCCTGCGCCCGTTGACTTGGCAGATCCGACAATGCTGTAATAGGGTTCCTTGAGATCCGGGCCTCGATCCGATCCACGATACTCCGTCCGGTGTGTTCGCGTGTGAGGTGATTCGCCGAAACACAGAAGGCGCTGGTGAGGAGAACCGTCAGGTTATCAAGCTTTCGAGGTGGTAGGGCAATGAGAACAGGTGATGCAATGAGAAAGGTGTATGCGGCCGCGGTTTTGAACCGCTCGTAGTCGGCTTCTCTGCGTGACTGGAGATCGTCCGTCGGTGGTGGTGTGGTCATTTTGTTGATGGCGGATTGTTCCTTTCAGCCTTGGGGGTATTGCGTAATGGTAGTTATTACGGTAGGAGTCAACAGACTCAAGTAGAGCTTTGGGGCGTATTTGCGATTGGAATTGTAGTGGTCGTAGATCGTTTATCGCATCTTCTTCGAAGGAAATTTACGGCTGGTGATCCAGACCGTTGGCGCAGTCAGGTGACAGACATCGTATGGAATTCTCACGTGATGAGATCTGGCAAGCATATCGTCCAGCCATCTTTACTAAGAATTCCCGGAACTGTCGTTATCAATAAAGGGGCTTTTTTTATTCTTGCTTTCTCTATTGAGTCTGAGGCCATGTGCTATGTGATAGTCAGATATGAACATAGAGTATTATTCATATGACATAGACGCCTCAGGCAGAAAGTGGATCCTTGATCAACCAGCCAAACAGTACAACTACAACATCCACCGCATTCTTGACCTCCTTGCCTGTCCAGCAGCTCCAAGCCCAAAATGCCCTCCTTCTCATCGATTTCACTGTCCGCTTCTCTCTTAACCGCAGGATACCTCGCCTTCCGCGGCCTCACACCCCCAAACCTTCCTTCCAGCTCCAAAGGTAATGGGCCGCCAGACCGCGTTCGTCTGATTGCCGGCCCGATCACCACCGTCACACTACATCTCAATACGGCCTGCATCATCTACCACGCTCTTCTCGCGCTGTTCTATATAGATAGCAGTAACAACAATGCTAAGGAGCTGACCTATTCTGGCGATGGAGTGTACCTCCAAGCAATCTGTCCCCACCGGACCAGCCTCGCGCCGCATCTCTTCACCTGGACTATCACATCCACACTCTGCCTCGTTTCCATCATCGTGGGCGCTTTGCTTCGGCTCTCTGCATTCAATTTTCTAGGTCGGAACTTTACCTTCCAGCTGGCGCAACCAAATACCCTAGTAACTGGGGGGTTGTACCGATTGGTACAGCATCCCAGTTACACAGGACTGTGGTTCCTCGCAGCAGGATACCTAGGATTGGTGATGCGGTGGGACGGTGCAGTAGCCTGTGCTATGGATGATGCGGTGCTTGAGCGACTATCCGGATGGGGAGGATGGGTAGTGGGTGTGATAGTTACAGGGTTGATCTATTCAACGGTGATGCGTGTGCGAGATGAGGAGGGGATGTTGCGGGACCAGTTCGGGCGGGATTGGGAGGAATGGCATGTGAGGACGGCGCGATTCATCCCATATCTAATATAGTAGATACTGTTTGATAGATAGATATCTATATATGTATATATTTGTATTGAAGTCAATAGATGTGAATACTTTATAATTCCCTGGCCCTAATGCTATAACCAGCCACCGGAACAACTCCGATTCTCCGACTCCGCATCTCCGCCAGTCCCGATGATCTCACCTCTTCATCCTCCGGCTCAAGCTCAGCTCTCCTCTTCCCTTCTCTACCTTCATCCCACTCACCCCCTCTCCCCAACAACCATTCAATTGCAGCTCCCAACTACACCATGGGTATCCTCAAACGTGTCGCCAAGATAACCACCATTGGCGCTGGCGTCGGCACAGCGTTCTTCTTCGCAGCCGTCCGTCACAACACCTTCGTGCCGATGCCCACAAGCGACCCTCTCTTCCAGCACCCTCTGTACCAGAAACTCAATCCCAACAACAACCCCACAACCCATGACCTCTGCGTGCGTCGCGTACCGCTCAAGGACATTAAGCCCGCCTTGCTGGAAAAGCCAGGCCGACTGACCGAGGCGTTTTGCGCCGGAGTGTGGAGTGGATTCGGTGCGTCACATACACCCACCCAGTCCACTATAAAAACACAATAAACTGGACAAACTATCTAACTCTCTGCTCGAATGAATTCGAACAAACAGGATACGCCTATCAACGCCGCTACCTCTCCAAGAAATACGAAGGCCCCGAAACCGCTTCTCACCTCTGGACGCGCGCGGACCTACGCGCCGCGACATACGACGTGGGCACGCTGATCACAGATCACTTCGAGGTGGTAGAAAAGACGCCGGAGCGGATTGTCGTGCGGTGCGGAGATTCGCCCCGCAAGAAGGACGTGCGGGAATCGGATGGACTGTTTGAAATTTCGACGGAGGTCAAGCCCCAAGAGGGAGTTGCGGAGTTCCGGCTCAAGAGTCTGTTCTTCCAAGGCAAGGGGAAGGCGGAGAGTGAGCCGATGCCCTCGCATGTGGTTTGGTTGCATCAGCAGTATACGAAATTGTGGTTGGAAACGGCGTTGGGAAATATTTGGCGGTGAATTCGCTCTTGAGGGATGGAGATATGTGTAGTGTGGGATGGGCATCTAATAGATCAGTTTGCCGCATATATTAATTCGATGGAGACTCGCACCACTAGCTATCCACTTACCTGTCACGCTGAGACTACTACGGCCTCAGCTATTCAAGTAGTGCATACCGGAACAAGGACCTAAATTACTATGCAGCGACATCAATACTTGGAGCAAGGGTCACAGGAGCCACCTGACAGTTCCAACCAAACCTGAACTTGATCGATATACTTTTGTCACGAGATTAAGCACCAAGTCTAGGAGGCACCACCGCTATGAATTATACATTGACCAAGGACATTACCCTTGATAAGTATACGTACGAACTAATGCAACCCCGCCTTCCGTTCCCCAAAGATATGGTACCAACGCCAAAGTAAAGAGAAGCAAGGGGGAAAATAAGGGGAGAGTATAACCTAGCAAGGCTGAAAGCCCATTACTGCGGACGTCACCGAGCCGACTAGCATGCCTTAATGAAGAACATGTTCCATTGTTCAGAGGTAATTACTAGAAGCAGATCGCGAACCACAGAATTGTTGCGGCGATATATATATATATTGAACGGATTTGGTGTTCTTCTCTTCTTCACGGTAGACTGGTAGTCTACATGTAACGGTACGGTGAGACCGTGTTTACCTCCAAATCTCCCAGAAGGATATTGGCTGATATGGTATCCTGGTGGGAGGTCAAATATGTAATAGGAGATGGGGTGGAATTTTTGTTTTGTAGTTGAGCCTAATATATGATCCAGAGGCTACGGTAGCGGATAGCATCTTGTCCCATTGCTAGAGATGATAGGATGTCTTCTGTTTCGAATGGTTGTTGAGACCACGAAGGGTTGCTTGTTCTTACAGGATCTTTCTATTCTGTCACCTACACAGATCTACGCCAAAAAAGAATGGTATAATATAAGGTTATTAATTAGTGGAGTATAACTTTTATGCTAATCCAATGCAATGTAGCGGGGATATAATTAAGCAGATGTCCATGCACCAGCAGGCACACAGGGGGTATGTATGAAAAGGGGGGAATATGGGTATGATATGGGCGAGTAAAGAAACGACAAAAGTGAGCGGTGGATGCACCAACCCCCACATATACACCGGTTTCTCAATCAACAAGAAAAAAGACAAGGTAGTAAGGATGCATTCAGGATGAGAGGTTCTATTCAAACCGATGTATGTATGTATGTAACATGGTAATGTACACGCAAACCATCGACAAGTCTAGAAAACCATACCCGAGACCTGTTTGACCTTGGCAACATTAATGTTCTTGATCATAACGATCCAGATAAAGGACAGAGCCATGAGACCCGTTCCAACCGCCAGCATGCGCGTCTGGGCATATCCATAGGCATGCTGGATAGCAGTGCGGGTAACACTACCAGTCGGGTAACTCAGCTGAGTTTCCAGGTCCTCGTAGATGTTCTCGAGGTTGGACATGGCTGATTCAGGCAGGTAGCGGATGAGCGCCTTCTCGAAGGTGTTATCCCAGATAGCACCGGAGATGGTGGCACCAATAGCGTCACCGATAGTACCGACGACGTTGAGGAGGGCCAGGGCGGCAGCGACGTGCTGGTGGTCGACGGCAGCCAGAATAGCGAGCTGCTCGATAATGATGAAGATACTGCCTCCGATGGAGATGAAGATCTGGCACATGACGAGGTAGCCGACGGATTGGTTGGGACGACGGAAGTAGATCATGAGACCCTGAGCGAATATGTACAAGGGCACGGAAATGTAGAGGAGCCACTTGAAGCGGCCGGTCTTGCTGATCAACCAACCGACGAAGAGGAGCAGGACACCGGACACGACGTCGAACGTGTCACTGACGTAACCGGCTTCGGCAACGCTCAGGTCGTTGACAACTTGCAGGAAAGAGGTGAAGTAATTATCCCAGCAGTAGTATGAGAGCTGGTAGGTGGCGTCGAGGAGACAGGCACCAATAACGGTACGGTTGAAGAGGAAGCCGAACTTGAAAAGAGGCACGGGCGCAAGGAGCCATTCGTACAGGCAGAAGAGAACCAGCATCACGACACCGACGACGATCATCGCGATAATGTAGCCCGAGGCCCAGCCGTCGGGGGCGTAGGAGGAGATATCGAAGGGAAGGAAGAAGACACAGAGACCGGCGGAGAAGAGAAGGACACCAACAACTGGAAGGGGTTAGTTAGGTTGAGACGAGATTCTGGAGGTATAGGGGGATAATTGCGTACTGTCAAACTCGATGAAGTAGAACCAGACAAGCTGGTACCAGGTGCGGGCGTCGCGGTTGACGGCGACCAAACCCTGCTGCTGCGCGCGCTTTAGGTTGTGCTTCAGGATGAAGTACAACGGGGCAGCGACGACAGGGAAAATGATGGCGAACATGCCGAAGCCCCAGCGCCAGCTAAGGTGGAAGTCATCCGAAGCCTTGGGACCAGCAAAGGCCGTGATGATGTAAGGGGAAGAGGTGAAGGCGTAGGCCAGACCTCGATTCTTCAGCTTGGAGGCATCAGCAGTGATGACATCCACGCAGTAGGTCATGCCACCGAAGCCAATGGTGTAGAATACCTGGTAAATGGACTGATTAGCACGAGTAAAATTTTCACTCGATTAGCCGTCAAGGAAATCTTACATAGGCAGCACAGAAGGTGGGAAGATTGTGGCAGGTGGCCATCAAAATCAGTCCCAGCGTAGCAAAGACAGCCATGGTCGCGAAACCTTCAGCACGGCCAGTCACGTCCATGATTTTCGCCAGAGGGATGTACACGGCGGCCGACATGCAGTCGGCAACGACATAGATGACGTTCAGGAGGGAGTGGGACTCCCAGGAACTGGTGACATAGGGGAGCAAGTTGTAAAGAATAGAGGACTGAAAAGCATTCACAAAGTATAAGAGCCAGATGCTAATCGAGGAAAATCAAATAAAGTTAGCAAGAATACAAGGGAAGAACAGATACCAAGAGAGACCACATACTTGGCAAAAACGGCGATCAGGGACCATTTGGACCAAGACTTGGTGATAGCCTCGACGTCGTTAACACCAATCTGGAGGTGCGCTGAAGAGGCATCCTCGGAAACAGTTTCCTCAGAGTCTTCAGGACCACGGACTGCCTCATCAGCAATGGGATCATGCTTGGTCTCCTCGACGGTGTTCATGGTAACATTGTTGCCGGATTCTTCGGTAATAGAAGGGCTACGGCCAAAGGCCTCACGAAACTTTTCGAGCACGGCCATAGTGATAGACCGACCTATCGAGAAGGCAGAAGAGATGATCGAGCGGGTAAAGCCAAGGAGGACAAGACAAGGACAAGAAATCTGGGATTTCTTGGCCCTTATACCCAGGCGAACCCAGCTAGCTACGAGTGGCGGAGGACTAGTGTTGACAGGCCCACGCACAGATTGATAACCCCGAAGTCGGCTGCGGCGGCCGCAGCGGCCGCATCTGAAATCCTGAATCGAAGGGTGGCTAGGTTCGAGCGCAACTGGAGACCACTGGATCCCTGGAGACGAGCCAATCTAATCAGATAATGGCGCTGTCCTGCGCATTCCCCTATCTGATCGAACCAATGGCGGTCGTAAGCTGGTGATGATGCCCTACAAGGTCTACGTAACTATTCTAGCACAGGTGCAGAGATTGTTAGCGCCAACAATTAGTCTGGCGATGGTGTGTAGTCTAACTAGCTGATTCGCAGCGTGTGCTTGTCCGGAAGACACGATGTGAGGCACGATAAAAATCCGTGATCTCCACCCGGAGATGAGGAGTGGGCACTGTATGACCGGCATGTTTTCCTGCGATCCACTCAAGGCACCAGTAATCTCTGCGTCTTTTTACCTGATCGATAGCCCCAAGGTCTCTAGACTAGACAGTAGACAGAGTCAAGGAGTGGGAGGCACCCACATCCGGGTCGAGCTGAGTCGTCTGATGATGCTGGATCGGGTCAACATCCCAATTCGGTACCCACTCGCGGTATGGATACTAAGAGAATACTTGTATGAACCGTACGATACTGCTTACTGTATGGTTACAGCGGTCACCGGAAAAATGTTAACTAACGGACCCACTCTCATCACACAATCCAATTTCCCCTGGCGGCCGCCGGAAAAACGAGCCTGGAGACCGTGGACGAAATGCGGCTAGTCCGTGACTAAATCTAATCTGATCCATGATAAGATGCGAATGCCATCAACACCCGTTGTTGAGGGGTTTTCATTTTTCTCACAAGTCCAGTGGGTACTATATTAAGCGATGGGGTACATTAAACTATTATTCCATGGTTCTTGTCTCCAAGTAGGTCGAAGGAAGTTCTTCACGAGTAATTCGAGGCCAGGACACGGCTGGAAAATTCTGCAGCATGAGTGGCTCCATCGGGTTCTTCCGCCGAATAATGAGCGAGCTACAAAGTACAACGCCAGATGATCCGGACGCCTCTTGCCGAACAGGCACACAGCGCCGGCTGGCTATCTGATTGCGGAGTAATCCGCAGACCGTACGTGAAAACCCCCCTCTTCCGTCTCACAACTTGGAGTTGATCCATTGTGGCGACCGTTTCTCTACAAACGCTCGAATACCTTCGGCAAAATTAGCTCCCTCCACCAGGCGCGGGTACGAGTGTTCCGCCAGCGTCGACACCGCATCCTCCACGCTACCGGCCTCCCAGCTCAACCGGATACCCTCGCGGCCAACAATGAGCGCATCCGGACTGTTGTTGCACATGACGCCGGCGATCTGAAGAGCTGCCTGTGCAACATCGTCACCAATATCAACCAACCGAGTCACTAGCCCCCAATCGTAGAGTGTCCTTGCGTCCACGCTGCGGCCAGTCAAGGCCAGGTCCATCGTGCGCTGCAACCCCAATGTCCGGGTCAGGCGTGGCAGGCAGCCAGCCACAGGCACAATTCCTCGCTTAACTTCGGGCAACGCAAAGATGGCAGACACCGAGGCGATTACGATGTCGCAATTTGCTACCATTTCAAACCCGCCCC